TGTGACGAGCTGTGAATGTGACGAGCTGTGGACGTGACGAGCTGTAAATGTGACGAGCTGTGGATGTGACGAGCTGTGGATGTGACGAGCTGTGGATGTGGCAAGCTGTGGAATTGGCAATCTATGGATGTGACGAGCTGTGTATGTGGCAATCTATGGATGTGACGAGCTGTGTATGTGGCAATCTATGGATGTGACGAGCTGTGGATGTGACGAGCTGTGGATGTGGCAAGCTGTGTATGTGGCAATCTATGGATGTGACGAGCTGTGTATGTGGCAATCTATGGATGTGACGAGCTGTGGATGTGGCAAGCTGTGGAATTGGCAATCTATGGATGTGACGAGCTGTGTATGTGGCAATCTATGGATGTGACGAGCTGTCGATGTGACGAGCTGTGGATTTGAAAAGCTGTGGATGTGGCGAGCTGTGGAATTAATAAGCTGTGGATATAGCGAGCTGTGGATAAGACGAACTGTGGATGTGCCGAGCAATGTATGTGGCCAGCTGTGGACATGTCGAGGACACCAAACAGTATACTTGCTTATGTGTCTGTCGTCCACCATCGTGTGTGCCCCATGCCAGTAATGTTAGATGTTTGTTATTTCTCCCACCCACAGACGACTATGTATCAACAGAACTCAGCGCTGCCCTACACCTAACTACCCCATGACAACCGTTAGCTAGCCACGCTAAACAATCCCCAGACAGTAACAGTAATAAGTTATTACATGTATAATGAGTTTACAAGTTGTCATAGATCTTACGGTGTTTTCCTTCTGCTCTCCCCACATCTTCCACAGAACATCTCCAATGATAACTGCTCTACTGCTGCTGGCTAGTCTCCCTACGGGGCACGCCCAGACTTTTGGTGAGTAGGTTGACAGCTAATCTGCTGGGCATGTTTCATCTCAGATTGTGCACTTTTCTGTAGACGTATCTACCTGTCTGACTGTATCTACCTGTCTGACTGTATCTACCTGTCTGACTGTATCTACCTGTCTGACTGTATCTACCTGTCTGACTGCATCTACCTGTCTGACTGTATCTACCTGTCTGATGACTGTATCTACCTGTCTGGCTGTATTTACCTGTCTGACTGTATCTACCTGTCTGACTGTATCTATCTGTCTGACTGTATCTACCTGTCTGACTGTATCTACCTGTCTGACTGTATCTACCTGTCTGACTGTATCTACCTGTCTGACTGCATCTACCTGTCTGACTATCAGTCACTCACACGTCCGCATGTCTGACTATCAGTCACTCACACGTCCACATGTCTGACTATCAGTTACTCACACGTCCGCATGTCTGACTATCAGTTACTCACACGTCCGCATGTCTGACTATCAGTTACTCACACGTCCGCATGTCTGACTATCAGTTACTCACACGTCCGCATGTCTGACTATCAGTCACTCACACGTCCGCATGTCTGACTATCAGTTACTCACACGTCCGCATGTCTGACTATTAGTTACACACACGTCCGCATGTTTGCTGTCAGTGTTCTTGTTCTTTGGTTGATCCATAAATCATTGACCTGCGGTATAGGTTCTCAAACTTACTTAGATACGTAGCTCTCTCATGTGCTCAGACATCGATCTCCTTTAATGGGACAAACAGAAAGCCGAAGAGATCAGTCTGGAAACATTAAGTAGTCACCTTGGTGTAGCGGCTAGATACTCGCCTGTGGATCGGGAGGTCGTGAGTTCGGGTCCTGACGGAGCCATACTATTTTTTTTAAATGACTGTGACTCTCTGGTCCACCTAGCCTTGTGTGGGTACCATGTACAGTCCTGGGAAGAAAAGGCGACCGGTGTGATGCTGACCCCATCACCACCCCCGTACCGTACCTATAAAATATAGGTATAGCCCTATATGCCCAATACGGGTGACAATGTGGGAAAGGGCATTTTTAAACTACAAATTTAACTGTTTATACTTCAAGGGAAACACCTACGAACAGATTTTCACAACTTTTTGAAAAAAAAAAAAGATTTTACTGCTCCCAGTTTTATTTATGGTCTCATTATGTCCTGTAAATGGGACCCCTTTCCTCGGAGGATGATGTGTCGCCGATATCGCTCACTTGGAGAAGCTATTACCTCTGGTTTAGATGTATTACTTCTGTATCTCTCAATGTAGGCTGCTGGACGCCGATTGGAACCCGGACTTGAGACAATGTTCATCACGTTGTGTATCAGGTGAAACGTTGGCCCTCGACCAGCCCAGACACGTTATGCGTTTATGATTATCTGGTGAAAATATCTCGCACCTATATGATATAAAAATGGCATCCTTTTAAGATAGTTGATATACCTTTCTCTTGGTATCATATATGTGGATGCAGGTGGATGAGGTATGTGGCCTGGGATGTCATAGATGTAGGTAGATGAGGTATGTGGCTGGGGATAGCATAGATGTAGGTGGATGAGGTATATTGTTGGAGATATCATAGATGTAGGTGGATGAGGTATGTGGCTAGGGATAGCATAGATGTAGGTGGATGAGGTATATGGCTGGGGATATCATAGATGTAGGTGGCTGAGGTATATGGCTGGGGATGTCATAGATGTAGGTGGATGAGGTATGTGGCTGGGGATATCATAGATGTAGGTGGATGAGGTATGTGGCTGGGGATATCATAGATGTAGGTGGCTGGGGATGTCATAGATGTAGGTGGATGAGGTATATGGCTGGGGATGTCATAGATGTAGGTGGATGAGGTATGTGGCTGGGGATATCATAGATGTAGGTGGGTGAGGTATATTGCTGGAGATATCATAGATGCAGGTGGATGAGGTATGTGGCTGGGGATAGCATATATGTAGGTGGATGAGGTATGTGGCTGGGGATAGCATAAATGTAGATGGATGAGGCATATGGCTGGGGATATCATAGATGTAGGTGGATGAGGTATATGGCTGGAGATATCATAGATGTAGTTGGATGAGGTATATGGCTGGAGATATCATAGATGTAGGTGGATGAGGTGTGTGGCTGGGGATAGCATAGATGTAGGTGGATGAGGCATGGGGCTGGGGATAACATAGATGTAGGTGGATGAATCATGTGGCTAGGTGCTAGCGATGACATAGTTGTCGGTTCACGTGTGGCCTCACCTAAATGTTTCTCCCTCGCGTTCACACAGAATGTCCGTCCTCCTGGCACAGACACCAGGGCAGCTGTTATCAGTTCCACAGCGACTACCCGAGGACGTACGACGAGTCCCGGATCCGATGTATGGTAGGTTTCTTTGTGTGGTTACAGCTGTGATCAAGCTAAACCCGCTGGCCTCATAAAGCTAAAGGAGACAATGGTCGTTAGTCGTTGATCTACTTGGTGATAAAAAAAAAAAGCCTGTATTGGGTGCATGTACGAAAAAATGAAAGTTCTCCCCGGCGGGGAATCGAACCCCGGTCTCCCGCGTGACAGGCGGGGATACTTACCACTATACTACCGAGGATAGACACCGATATAATTACTGAAAGTGCTAACATTAAGACTCAAATTCTATTTCGTGGGGAAACAAAAATTCAAATTTTTATCCTCTTTCAGCTGCCTGAAGGCGTCCGTCGATTGTTATGTTGTCTAGTGTGTTCTTCTATCTTTCAATACATTTTCTGTTACGTTATTAATATGCCATATTAAGGAAGGTTCCTTGGGTATCTTTTTTGGCTTCCAGTTGTTCTTTGTGGTGGGAAATCACACCTGCTATTCTTTTTCTTTTGCCTCCCAAGTCCGTTTGGGAGGGGAAAAGGGGGGGGGGGGGGGGGGGGGTCCTGGTTTGCTTCCTCCAAACCCTGTGGGTTTTTTTTTACTGGTCTACACGAGAAGAATTGATTGCTCGAATGTGCCAAGAGATTTGATTGTGATGTCGGAATAGTCAGAGTGACAGATAGGTTGTTAGTATGAGAGAGATGGGTTCCCGGTGCTTGTACTTCTAGGGGGCTGAGAATCCGTGCGATGCCTGTCCCTCATGTATCTTAGTCTTGGGTTGGTAGCCCGTGGTGAGGTCCTGGGCAGTAGCAGGTCCCGTTACCTTATCTGAAAGTAGACTGAAAGGCATGTTGGGCATTTTTAAACATATGTGGTGTGCGGGCAGGGAAGAAGATATCATAGTTATGTCGTAATAAAGACTGGAATCCCTGAGTGCTGGTCCCCTTTGGTGCAGTATGCTCAGCTATCTTGCCTCAGAGCGTCCGGTGGCCTTTGGTGGTTTCCGTTGTCTTTATCTTTCTGAAAACATACTAGGAGAGAATATTATTAGTCATGTAAGTCATGTTAGTCGCCTATGGAGTAAGATAGTGGAAACAGCACAGGTTAAATTGCTGGAATGCTCCAGATGACATAAGGTGAGGTCGGAAGAGTGAGGGATAGATTGCTCTGCTTGGTATCACTGGTACTCGCTGGATCTGATCAGGTCACACCAGGTTGTGCAGCCGCCGGTCTCGGTTGAGGGGTGGCTCTCAGAGCGGTTTCCCTATTCTAGAGATAAACTGTTGGACTAGTCACTGGGTCTTATCCTCACTGCTCACGCCCCGGCAATTATCGACTGTCGGTTGTTTCGTGGTTCTTAAGTGTAGAATGAGCTCTTGTCTTACTAGGTCGAAGGTTTTACAGTTCAGCAGGAAATGTTAGAGTTAATGGCCTTGCATTCCTCGCACACAGGCGTGCGGAATCGGTCTGGTCATCATCCTAGTCGCATCTTCAACACCTTCTGAATGACAGGTACTTCCGTCGGCGATTGCAGTAGATTCTTGAGACTGGTTTTTTAAAAGTAGTTTGTAGGCGGCTCTGCCTTTATCGCTGGCCGACCACTGCAAGGACCACTCTTTGCAAATGTTGTTTCTGATAACTGCTTTTTGTTCAGTTTTCCTAATTCCGTGAATACTGTGTTAGGGCTGCGGTGCCTCTTTTTGCCGCTCTATCTGCTGCTTCGTTGCCTTCTATACCTATGTGTGCAGGGATCCAGTTAATGGATTATCACCACAAGACGCAAAAATGGCAGCAGTTCAGAAACCCAAGAGTGAGATGACGCCAGAGGAGTTATCTCAACATGAGCAGGAGGGGTTTAACACTGGCCCATTGTCTGTGCTGACACAGTCTGTGAAGAACAACACACAAGTTTTTGATCAACTGCCGCAATAATAAAAAGTTGCTAGCTCGTGTAAAAGCTTTCGATAGACATTGCAATATGGTCTTAGAGAATGTGAAAGAGATGTGGACAGAGCAACCCAAAGCTGGCAAAGGAAAGAAGAAATCAAAACCTGTGAACAAAGACAGATTCATCTCCAAAATGTTTCTTCGTGGGGATTCTGTCATTTTAGTGCTGAGGAATCCCCTGGCAACTGCTAAATAATTGGCCCCTAATGTCTGCTTTATATTTTTCTGCATTTTTTATGTTTATCATTTGATCAGGAAGTTGAGACAAGTATTTCCATCATCACATCTTCTCATTTTTTGTTGTTACCCGTGTTGTCTGTTAATAAAGTTTGGGTTTTATCGATCTTCTTTACAACTGTAATTGTATTGTTTATCATTAGTTTGTGCTCCAGACCATACTTGGCTAAAAATTCATACTTTAATAAAGTCATGAAAAAAAAAAAAATTATGGATTTCTGTCACCCCAGGCTTGCGAGCCTGGTTGAGATGGTCATTTCTTATTTTATGTCATGTCGGCTGACTTTCGAGTAGTCTTTCCTTGACTTGACAGCTGACAGCGAGTCGGTAAGGATGAGGAGTTGTATGGGCGCCTTTCGCAGGTAGAACGTCGTAACAGGCTTGAAAGACTAAATTCCTTGGACGTCTCATTTTTTCTATAACGGGCAGGAAAGACTTTATTCCTTGGACGTCTTATTTTTTTTCTGTAACGGGCGGGAAAAACTTTATTCCTTGGACGTCTTATTTTTTCTGTAACGGGCATGAAAGACTATTCCTCAGACGTCTCATGTTTTCTGTCCAGCCTGTGGTGTCTCCAATGGCATAGCATGGAGAGGAAGCACTCCCCTTTTCCCCACCCCAATCACACACACTATGTATATATATATTATTTTAACACCTTGTTTGCCATTTTGTCACCCCTCCGCCCCCCCCAACATATATATTTTATTCTACAAATACACATTTGAACCATTTTGTCACCCCTCTGCCCCCCAACATATATATTTTATTCTACAAATACACATTTGAACCATTTTGTCACCCCTATGCCCCCCAACATATATATTTTATTCTACAAATACACATTTGAACCATTTTGTCACCCCCACAATGATGACAACCCGGGTGGCCAGCACCCCCAGGTGGGTTACTGACAAGATAAAAGCTTACGTGATTTACATGCAAGTTAAAAAGACTTATTATATTAAATATTATTAATTGAGTGAAAATAAGTTATGATTCAGTTCAGCAGTGCCTATCCCGAGTTTGTCAAACGAGGCAGCAATTTCATTTCTAGTTTCTTGTGGGGCTAGGATTGATGGGGAAGACATGTTTGTAGTGAAATACGTTTTGCTGCCGCTACTCTCTCTGGCGCGTGATGATAATGATAGGGCAGTTTTACTGCTGGAAACTGTAGCCCAGCTAATCAGCTGATGGCGGCTGTCGTCTGCTAGGGAACGCCCGGATTTCCCTGAAACAAATCAAGCTGAACCACAAGTAGAAACTATAAGTTTTCATGTTAAACATAATTATTATTGACGACATTTACGGCTTGGTTAGACAGCCCTCACCAGCATACAGCTGACACGGACAGTGATACAGCCACATCCAAGAATGCGCAACACACAACTTGACTGATCATTCTTGTACCTCCAGGTTGACGGAGCCGGGCTGGTCAGTGTCGGAGACAGACAAGAGCACGAGTTCCTGGTCAAGTTTCTCCAGCTCTTCGACACCCACATGTAAGTCATGACTGCTCGATAATCCTATTGTTGGCTCCAACAGTTAGTCACCCATGTAAATTTAGCTTCGTGTCATGTAAGAAGACGTACGCGGCTCTTCTTTAAATAACGATCGCTAGCTGGAAAGCCGACGGTCGCTTAGTGGGAGTTCACTCCCTTGGTTGCAGTGCAAATACGGACCGTAAAGAGGGAACGAAACAAATGACATACCTACCTATCATCATACGGTTGCGTAGGGGGTAGGGTTAGGGTGTGGGTTAGGGTTAGGGGTAGGGGTAGGGTTACGGTTAGGGTAGGGTTAGGGTAGGGTTAGATGTGATTTCTCCTAAATATGACGGCAATAGCGCGCGGCTGGTGCCCAATTGATGGCGAATTGTCCGTTTGAGTAGCATCCACAGTCCATCAGTTGTTTGGGTGTGTATGTCACTGTGCGCGAATATTTGGAACTTCTGCGTCAAAAGTGTCACATCTAACCCTAACCCCAACCCTACCCCTAACCCTAACCCTACCCCTAACATAAAGGCATACAGATCTGAAGGAGTCACATCCGTGGCAACTAATAGTACTTTTATATATGGATATATTTACAAAAAAAAAAAAAAGATTTCCCCGAGGCGTCAAATAAACACCCAGATCTAGGGGAAACACCCAAGCATTGGCAGCCCTGATGTCGACCTCATTGTCTGTTTTGATTCGTGACGTCCGCTCTGTATTTGCAATGCAGCCAAGGGAGTGAACTCTCACTAAGCGACCGTCAGCTTTCCAGCTAGCGATCATTATTTAAAGGAGAGCCAATTATGCTTGTAGGATAGCTAGCTATAAAAACTAGGCCTTGATTGAAGGTAGAATTGAAGATAAGATAGAATAGCTAGCTAGAATAACCAGATCTTAATTGAAGGTAGAAATGAAGATAAGATAGGATAGCTAGCTAGAATAACTAGGTCATGATTGGAGGTAGAATTAAAGATAAGATAGGATAGCTAGCTAGAATAACTAGGTATTAATTGAAGGTAGAATTAAAGATAGGATAGCTAGCTAGAATAACTAGGTATTGATCAGAGGTAGAATTGAAGATAAGATAGGATAGCTAGCTAGAATAACTAGGTCTTGATTGGAGGTAGAATTGAAGATAAGATATGATAGCTAGCTAGAAAAACTAGGTCTTGACCAGAGTTAGAATTGAAGATAAGATAGGATAGCTAGCTAGCTAGAATAACTAGGTCTTAATTGGAGGTAGAATAGAAGATACGGTAGGATAGCTAGCTAGATTGGAGGAGGATAGAATAACAAGACTGGAGATAGAATTTAAGATAAGATAAGATAGCCAGATCCCAGAATTGATGAACTGAATAAACTGCAGTACATACATACCTAGACCCGAGAGAATGTGTATAACATTAAAAAACAAGACTGCGGATAACAATACCAAAGAGAAAAGATTATGATAATTTTAATACAGAAAGTTTAAGTCAGAACTAAATTGAAGATAAAACTGATGGGAGAGCAATAAGATAATAACTAGACTAGAAAATAGAAAAAGATGTTCAAATATAAAAACTAATGAACAGATGATAAAGGACTCATCATCATCATCATGCAATAGGATAGTGGCAGAATGTTCCTCACTTTACTCCCTGCCACAAAGAGCAGAACATCCCACACTTTATTCCCTGCCACAAAGAGCAGAACATCCCTCACATTACTCCCTGCTACAAAGAGCAGAACGTCCCTCACATTACTCCCTGCTACAAAGAGCAGAACGTCCCTCACTTTACTTCCTGCCACAAAGAACAGAACGTCCCTCACATTACTCCCTGCCACAAAGAGCAGAACGTCCCTCACATTACTCCCTGCTACAAAGAGCAGAACGTCCCTCACTTTACTCCCTGCCACAAAGAACAGAACGTCCCTCACATTACTCCCTGCTACAAAGAGCAGAACGTCCCTCACATTACTCCCTGCCACAAAGAGCAGAACGTCCCTCACTTTACTCCCTGCTACAAAGAGCAGAACATCCCTCACATTACTCCCTGCTACAAAGAGCAGAACATCCCTCACATTACTCCCTGCTACAAAGAGCAGAACATCCCTCGCATTACTCCCTGCTACAAAGAGCAGAACGTCCCTCACTTTACTTCCTGCCCTAAAGAGCAGAACGTCCCTCACTTTACTCCCTGCTACAAAGAGCAGAACGTCCCTCACTTTACTCCCTGCTACAAAGAGCAGAACATCCCTCACTTTACTCCCTGCTACAAAGAGCAGAACATCCCACACCTTATTCCCTGCCACAAAGAGGATAACATCCCACACTTTACTCCCCCCTGATAGCAGCTCTTAATTCTTCACTAATTCCTCTACCTCATGTACTTCCTTGCTGAAGGTGTGTCCAGTGTCCTGTTTCCACCTGGATGCTAGCTGGCTTAAGCCTTTGTGCCACAGATCTTTCCTTGTATTACTGTTTTTGGTAAACTGTTTCAGTATTTAATTTTTACTTCAACCCAAGTGTTTCAACTAAAACAAAAAATGTTGCTCTGTAGGAATAAACTAGGCAGATAAACGATAAATAAAGCTAGCGTGTGTGGTGTGTGTATGTGTGTGTGTATGTGTGTGTGTGTGTGTGTGTGTGTGTGTGCACGTATGTGTTTAGTGTTTGTGAGAGAGTGAGAGAGAGTGTGTGAGTAAGTGAGAGATTTGTAGATGACAAGGAGTGGTGTGATATTGACATATTTTTGTCCAGACATCAGTGGTACACCAGTGGCATCCGTGAGTCCAGCCACACTGAGGCTGTGAACTTTGTATGGCATGGAACAGGTGAAACAGTCAGTGGGCAGGACCAGTTTTGGGAGTCTGGACAAGATTTCAATGACTCTGTTGGGATCATTGTTTACAAACCAACAGGTATGTTTTGGTGTTCACATTGGAGGGCTGCCTGGGGAGCATGGGTCAGTAGGTTGGAATGTTAGCAGTGAATTCCTGAGGTGTGGGTATCCATCTAGAGTGTACAGTTGTATCTGTTGGATTTCAGTGATTTCAGTTCTCCAGCCTTATGTACATTTGTCATGTTTTCTGTGATGTGTGGCTTCTCATGTTTTATGATGTTGGCTTGTCATGTTTTCTGTGATGTATGCCTTTTCATGTTTTCTGCGATGTATGGCTTATCATGTTTTTTGTGATGTATGGCTCATCATGTTCTCTGTGATGTATGGCAATCATGTTTTCTATGATGTATGGCTTGTTATGTTTTCCATGATGTATGGCCACTTTGATTTACTACAGTAATGTTCTATTATAGGTCTCAGTTCTAAATAAATGGTTACAGTTTTGTGAGTACCATTAATGTCTGAGGCATTGTTCTTATGAGCCTGAGTAGAAAACTGTTTGTAATAATGTCAACATAGAGTTGCAAAACTAGCAAATACAGGGATGCAACACTAGTAAATATATTTTTGTAATACTA